ATGTTTCAATTAGCATACTTATGCTTTGCATGCGTGCATCATTCATTTGTCTTGCATGCACCGGGCTCCGCGCATCATACAAACTGTATTGTATATTTCAATACACTTTCTTGAATATGTGTTTCAAAGCATGTTATCAAGTGTTGCAACTCATATGCCATCTTAGATAGCCAAGCCCATTTAGTTGCATTTTGCATGTGTTGCATTAGGCACTTAACATAGTTAGGATCATGCATGATTTCTAACTAGTTTCCTGTTTTGGTTCAGAGTACACTATAAGTGTTTACGCTTTAGCATCCTTGCATGTGTGTAAGTGATTGCTATGTTAGCATGCTTGCCATGAGGCTATCTGCTTAAGTGCTTAACTGTATAAATGCCTGTGGATGAAGGCTTCATTTCTTGAATTGGAATAATTCATCGAATGTGCATTTTAAGCCCACTTTGCAGAGTGGCAAAATCATGTTGTTTTAAAGCCCACTTGAGAGTGGCAAATCCGCGCTTTAGCCTACTCGAGGGTAGCACTTCCAAACCATTTTCAAAAAACAAACATGAGATGTTTTGTTCCGAATTGGGTGATTTAGTCTATACTTGTGTGTTGTGCGCATCACATAGTAAGTTAGCTAATAATCAGAATAAGAACATATGTGTTTTCAAAAACAAAATATCATGTTAGTAGAGGCCGATCTTTGATTGGGCGAGCGAGGGTGCTCATTTCAGGACCTTTCCCTCTCGTACCCAAGTTCCCGAGCCAAGGCAACTTTGGTGATGACGGACACGTGGCCTTAGGCACGAGTCAGGGTTTCTTAAATTTTCCAAAACAAAATATTTAGGTGGCCACTTTGAAATCTGGCAAAGCAATCCAGTTTTGGCATTTTTCTGATTTAAAATCTAATTTTCCAAAATGATTTGCCGGATTGGACTTCTTTGGTGTTTATCAGTCTCACATTGCACTTTGTGAGATTAGATTCAGAACCGTAACAGGAGTCCGAACTGTAGTAGCTATGAACCCAAATCCGTGCTCTCTCCAAAAGGGGGGTGCGCGGAGAGAGTTCGGGCGGTCTACAATTGTACACGCATCGCGTGCCACCAGCTAGTATATATATAAAAATTAAAGGAAGCCAGCGCTACAACTTAGCCCAAACAACAACTTTATTCCAAATTACATTGTTTCATATTTAAAAAAAAAAACAAAAAAACCCAAAAAAAAAAAAAACTAACTAACTAACTAACTGTGTTTGACGCTGTTACTGTGATTGTGATTGAGTTTGATTAGTTGAATGGATTTAGATGAAAATTGAATGGATTTCACATTTATTAAATAAATTGAATAGGTTTGATTAGTAAAAATTACATGGAAATTGAGTTTTACATTATTTTTATTTGTCTGAAAATCACTTCTCTGTAAAAAGGAAAAAAATTAAAAGAAAATCAATGTTAAAACACAAGCACTTGAAATAAATGGAACTTCAATTATATAACTTGTAAGAACCATATAATACAAAACAAATTCAACATGTAACTACCAAATATATAGGGTAAACTACCAATAGGTCATAATAGTTGAACTTAATTCTCATAAAGCCTATTGAAAATAAGTCTTGGTAAAATTGTCGTTAAAAATAATTTTCTTGTGACAATTTTTTATATATGTCGCTAAAACTTACAATTAGTGACTTTTTTTTATGACAAATTTTTTTCATAGGACCTATTAGACAATAAGTTCACTTATTAGGACCTATATGTAAGTACCCCATATATATATATATAATTGTAGCAACTAAATTAAACCAAAACTAATGCTTGATGTATGGGAGCCAAATATCCGATGTTATCCGTATTCCTCGCGTTCAAGCTGCACTTCGCTCCGATCGACTTGAGAACACAATGGGGGTGAGCTACCCGGTGGTGTGTTGCCGGAAAACCCATCTGACGGTCAAGTTAGTAAACTTAGAGGGAGAGGGAGAGAGAGAGAGAGAAGGGAGGAAACAAAGTGGTAGGTCAGTTCTGATTAGAGGATATTCCAAACCTGAATTTGGGGGTGCAACTCCATTTATATAACTTCTGCGCCCATTTTTGTGCCCATTCACTTTTGGACGCGTAGACCTGCTCTCCTCTCCTATTTCCCCACGTGTCAGCGAAATAGAGCTAAACACCACCTAACGAAACCGCCAAATAGCTTCGACGCGCATGGACAGTGCAATTCCTTTCTTTCAGTCTCGTGGCGCCGCATAGCACTCTTGACCGAGATACGCTCAATATGGAGCCATGCCATCACACAATTACCGAGCTACTCATTCGGTTTCTTTTACAACTCCGTACCATGACTCAGTCGAGCTCCTTGACTACAGCCAAGCATAAACTCGGTTCACCACATCGAAAGGACTAATCCAGTCCAACTCTGAATAGTGCATAACTCCCTAGACTGGTAATCCACAACTGTTCTCACCCAACCGGAATAAGACCTCGGTTTAACACGCACTTAAAGACAGGCCGAGCAGAAGCTCTTGATTCCAGCCCAACCAACTCGGTCCAAACGTTTCAGTAGTAAACTTCCCTCTCAGTTGCCCCTTAATTTCGTTCACGTTAGCGTGATCGGGATTATATTCTCCGGGTGGGATCGCTCATCTGCTCGGTCTTTCACCCCAAGTCATTTACCATGCTAAATTTCATGCTAAGTCCCATGACTTGCTCGGCTGGCATTTTGATTTTTCAACTTGTCCTTTCAAGACTGACATCAGTCTTGTTATAGACACGTGTCCTCTATTCATTAGCTTCGTACAGCCAACCCCGCCGTCTCATGACGTCTCTTCAAATTCAAATCTTGGCGCCTCTTCTTCCCTTATATACACATCGCATACCCCTTCACATCTCTTCTTCTACTGTTTATCATCCTCTCAGACGCCCTTCCAGAGCATACCCAGCCTCCGATTTTCGTTTGTTTTACTTGAATCAGAGCTCTCTCTCGAGGGAATTTGACCTTATTGTCGTCACTAAAGCTCCATCTCTCCGTTTGGAGCTACGATCTGTGCTCTAACCTATAAGTCTTCGACTCCTCCTCTGTTCTTCGTCAGTTCTTCGTGCCCCTTTCTTCTCTTCTTCTTCTTCTTTTTCTTCTTCTTCTTCTGCTCTTAAACCCTAACTCCCTTAGATGAGTCTAGGATAGGATGACAGTAGCCACCAATGCTAAAAATGGGGTTAGACTAGGGTTTTTGTCCCATTTAGATGACATAAAATGTTTTTGCCCCTCATCTTCAACACTGTTCACTATCTTCTGTGATGAAAGTGTGAGGATTTGGGATTGACCTGGCTACAAACCTCTGTTTGATCCTAAATCATGCCTTAACTGAGCAAGTTTCTTCTTTGTAGAACCTAGGGGCAAAACCGAGATATTAAACGCATTGAGCCGCTCGACCGGGCTAAATCTGGCCCGCTCGAGCGACCGAGTTGTTGTGCTTAAAATCAGGACCGGGGTGCCATTATGTCCAAAGTGACCGAGCTAAAATCGAGCTTGTTTGCGCGACCACGCTATCACTTGCACTTGGTTTTTCATTGCAGAGTTCTAGGGCACGAGACACCTACACAGGGCTCTCAAAGACCGAGCAGCCATCGTGCAAATTTTGCAAACTTAACATTGTCGTGCTGAATAAGCCGGCCTTCCAATGGAGCGCTACCACTTCCTTGTTAATATGCCGGGCGCGATGGCCGTATTCTGAGAAGATTATGGCATTCTTACTGACGTGCATCTGGAGCTTGGTGAGGAGGGCATAAAACCATGGGGTAGGCTGGAGTCCTGCCCCTTCACCTTGCTAAGCATAGTTGAAGGAGGGTTGTTCTTCCTTGTGCAACCCTTGATCTGCGAGTTTCTGAGACGCACTAGGCTCTCTCCAACACAAGTGTTCACCAACACGTTCAGGATCATAAACAGCGTGGCCGAGCTGAACCACCGACTTGGTTTAAACTTGGGTCTGGCCGAGATCTTGCGTCAATACACACTCAATCAAACTAAAGATGGTTTTAACTATTATTTAAAAATAAGACCAGGCAGAGAACGATTAATGACCGGCATGCCAGACAAAGATATGCATGATGATGATTTCTTCTGGGTGTCCGGTAATTATGAAACAGCTGGCGTGCTCGGTTGATACATCAACAAGAACTTCGGTTCTTCTTGTAAGCTCATTTTTCTGACCGATTTATTTTGTCAATATTGTTTGTACCGAGCTAATTACTTCCTTTTTGTAGCTATCAAAGAATTGCAAGCCAACTACCAGTATCCCAACGAAGAGGCGATTAGGGTCACGTTGAGATACCGGCATCGAGATTGCCACGATCTCCTCGGTCACGTCCCGACCTATCGTTACTCAGCTCCTCGCAGGTGCAAGGTGACAGACTTTCTTCGGGCTCCTTTCCCTCTACCTGATCCAACTCTGCCAGATGTCCCACTAATACGATTGACCGAGGAGGAAGAGATGGCAAAGAGGAGCCAGATCAAGAACCTAATCACCGCTACTTCAAGCGAGCTACCGAGCGTTCCTCCAGCTCCATCCGTCGGTCAGAGTTTAGGGACCGTGATTGCCCTGGCCTCCACGGCTATCCCACCTGTTGAGTCTCGCCGTGGTGGCAAGCGAGCCTAAACAACCTACCCCTCTGCCGAGCTCATGGCTGAGCTAAGCACTGAGCAGATAGATAGTTCAGAAAGCCGAGCTCACTCCTCCGTGGAAGCCAGAGTTCAAACACCGGGGCAAAGAGATCTCGGCCACCGCATCCGTCAAGGGGGACAAGGAACACCTCTTGGCCTTTGACTTATCGAAGGCGTTGCTGCTACCGAGCGATGTGATCGGGAGTGATCATGTTCCTAACACCCGGCTCGTGAAATCAGCGATCAAGTCCATGACTAGAGTACGATTCATAATTTCATCAAGTCCCTGCTCGGTTCACCTTTTTGCTTGGGCTAACTTCCTTTCTACTTCTTGCAGGCCATCCTAAAACAACATCTGGTCATGGACCGTATTGTCGATTTGCGCCACAAAGTCACCGAGCTGAACAACGTCTGTAAAAACATCTCGGTTGAGCGTGGCCGAGCTAAGGCCTCCATTGAGATCACCAATGTTGACAATGCCAGACTTTTTGGCCAGCTTAGCAGGGCTGAACAAGAGAAGGACGCTCTGAAGGCCGAGCTAGAAGCTGAAAAGAAAGCGATGCAGGACGCCGTGGATGAGGCCAACAACCTCGGTTTTAAGGAGGCCGAAGGCAACTATATCAAACAAGTTGAAACTACCAAGTACATCTACTTCAAGTCCGGTTGGAAGTCTGCTTGTGAAAAACTTGGCCAAGGATTTGAGACCGAGGTGTTCACCTCTCCTCCCCCCGCCTTCTTGTCAGTCTATTTGATACCCTATGCCAATGAAGTCTTCAACTCTTTGCAAGAGGAAGCCGAAGAAGAGGCTGAGGATAAGGCCGGCCAGAGGGAGCCCGGTGACAAAGAAAAAGCTGCCATGGTCGACCTGGAAGCCGTGACAGAGGGGACCGGAGACGAGTTTGCCGACCACTCACCCCTAGCATAGCCATTAATGCTCCATCTTTTTGCTTTGAACTTTTGTAACCGGGTTACAAGCCCCACCTCATGTACTTAAATTTTCAATTAATGAAAGATTTTAGCAACTTATCTTGAGTATTTTTACAACGTATGGTATGTGTCTTCCCTGTAACCGTACAATACGTGCCGGACAAAGTTCCCATTGATTGAATTGGGAAAATCATCTTGGTCGTAAAAAAGTGGAACATAACATCTAGTCATGTCCAGTAAAAATGACTTTTTGACTTGTGGCCGAGCAAAAGCATCTCGGCTAAAACACTAGAGTTGAACAATTCATCAATTCAATTGACTGAGCAAAAATCATCTCGGTTAAAAGAATGGAGTTAAACACTTCATCAACTCCGATGGCCGATCAAAAATCATCTCAGCTAAAACCATAGAGTTGAACAATTCATCAACTCCATTGACCGAGAAAAATCATCTCGGTTAAAAGAATGGAGTTTAACACGTCATAAACTCCGATGGCCAAGAAAAAATCATCTCGGCTAAAACCATAGAGTTTGAACAATTCATCAACTCCATTGGCCGAGCAAAATCGTCTCGGTTACAAGAATAGAGTTGAACACTTCATCAACTCTATTGGCCGAGCTAAATCATCTCGGCTTCAATCTTGGAGTTGAACAATTCACCAACTCAAATTGACCGAGCAAAATCGTCTCGGTTATAAGAACAGAGCTGAACACTTCATCAACTTTGTTGGCCGGGCTAAATCATCTCATCTTCAATCTCGGAGTTGAACATTTCACTAACTCAAATTGACCGAGCAAAATCGTCTCGGTTATAAGAACAGAGCTGAACACTTCATCAACTTTGTTGGCCGGGCTAAATCATCTCATCTTCAATCTCGGAGTTGAACATTTCACTAACTCAAATTGACCGAGCAAAATCGTCTCGGTTATAAGAACAGAGCTGAACACTTCATCAACTTTGTTGGCCGGGCTAAATCATCTCATCTTCAATCTCGGAGTTGAACATTTCACTAACTCAAATTGACCGAGCAAAATCGTCTCGGTTATAAGAACAGAGCTGAACACTTCATCAACTTTGTTGGCCGGGCTAAATCATCTCATCTTCAATCTCGGAGTTGAACATTTCACTAACTCAAATTGACCGAGCAAAATCGTCTCGGTTATAAGAACAGAGCTGAACACTTCATCAACTTTGTTGGCCGGGCTAAATCATCTCATCTTCAATCTCGGAGTTGAACATTTCACTAACTCAAATTGACCGAGCAAAATCGTCTCGGTTATAAGAACAGAGCTGAACACTTCATCAACTTTGTTGGCCGGGCTAAATCATCTCATCTTCAATCTCGGAGTTGAACATTTCACTAACTCAAATTGACCGAGCAAAATCGTCTCGGTTATAAGAACAGAGCTGAACACTTCATCAACTTTGTTGGCCGGGCTAAATCATCTCATCTTCAATCTCGGAGTTGAACATTTCACTAACTCAAATTGACCGAGCAAAATCGTCTCGGTTATAAGAACAGAGCTGAACACTTCATCAACTTTGTTGGCCGGGCTAAATCATCTCATCTTCAATCTCGGAGTTGAACATTTCACTAACTCAAATTGACCGAGCAAAATCGTCTCGGTTATAAGAACAGAGCTGAACACTTCATCAACTTTGTTGGCCGGGCTAAATCATCTCATCTTCAATCTCGGAGTTGAACATTTCACTAACTCAAATTGACCGAGCAAAATCGTCTCGGTTATAAGAACAGAGCTGAACACTTCATCAACTTTGTTGGCCGGGCTAAATCATCTCATCTTCAATCTCGGAGTTGAACATTTCACTAACTCAAATTGACCGAGCAAAATCGTCTCGGTTATAAGAACAGAGCTGAACACTTCATCAACTTTGTTGGCCGGGCTAAATCATCTCATCTTCAATCTCGGAGTTGAACATTTCACTAACTCAAATTGACCGAGCAAAATCGTCTCGGTTATAAGAACAGAGCTGAACACTTCATCAACTTTGTTGGCCGGGCTAAATCATCTCATCTTCAATCTCGGAGTTGAACATTTCACTAACTCAAATTGACCGAGCAAAATCGTCTCGGTTATAAGAACAGAGCTGAACACTTCATCAACTTTGTTGGCCGGGCTAAATCATCTCATCTTCAATCTCGGAGTTGAACATTTCACTAACTCAAATTGACCGAGCAAAATCGTCTCGGTTATAAGAACAGAGCTGAACACTTCATCAACTTTGTTGGCCGGGCTAAATCATCTCATCTTCAATCTCGGAGTTGAACATTTCACTAACTCAAATTGACCGAGCAAAATCGTCTCGGTTATAAGAACAGAGCTGAACACTTCATCAACTTTGTTGGCCGGGCTAAATCATCTCATCTTCAATCTCGGAGTTGAACATTTCACTAACTCAAATTGACCGAGCAAAATCGTCTCGGTTATAAGAACAGAGCTGAACACTTCATCAACTTTGTTGGCCGGGCTAAATCATCTCATCTTCAATCTCGGAGTTGAACATTTCACTAACTCAAATTGACCGAGCAAAATCGTCTCGGTTATAAGAACAGAGCTGAACACTTCATCAACTTTGTTGGCCGGGCTAAATCATCTCATCTTCAATCTCGGAGTTGAACATTTCACTAACTCAAATTGACCGAGCAAAATCGTCTCGGTTATAAGAACAGAGCTGAACACTTCATCAACTTTGTTGGCCGGGCTAAATCATCTCATCTTCAATCTCGGAGTTGAACATTTCACTAACTCAAATTGACCGAGCAAAATCGTCTCGGTTATAAGAACAGAGCTGAACACTTCATCAACTTTGTTGGCCGGGCTAAATCATCTCATCTTCAATCTCGGAGTTGAACATTTCACTAACTCAAATTGACCGAGCAAAATCGTCTCGGTTATAAGAACAGAGCTGAACACTTCATCAACTTTGTTGGCCGGGCTAAATCATCTCATCTTCAATCTCGGAGTTGAACATTTCACTAACTCAAATTGACCGAGCAAAATCGTCTCGGTTATAAGAACAGAGCTGAACACTTCATCAACTTTGTTGGCCGGGCTAAATCATCTCATCTTCAATCTCGGAGTTGAACATTTCACTAACTCAAATTGACCGAGCTGTATTACATGTAACTTCAAGCCAAGGGCTTGATGTGTATGAGTTAGTACTCTTTTGTTGTAACCAAGTGTTAACTTGGAAAGCTGTAAGCCCGTAGGGCATTTTGTTATGATGTTAACATGTAATACTTATGTAATGGAACTCTAAGGAATAAAGGAATGTGGTTAGTTTATATGTAAATGCATGTCTTATCTGATGGGTTTATTGTTATTATTTTGAGGGCGTTACAACAACAAATTGGTTATGTACGGTAACTCTTTGCTGTTACGTTCATGAGTTTACAAGGTGACGAGAAGAATTACATTGGTAAATCGAGGGGAATGATTGCCCTTTACAAAAAATTACATTGAAAGATGGAAACTAAAAATAAAACACCTTCAGATTGGCTGCATTCCATGGCTATGGTATAGTTTTGCCATCCAAGTCTTCCAGATGGTATGCCCCTTTGCCGCCCAGACCGGTGATCTTGTATGGCCTTTCCTAGTTTGTCCCCAGTTTTCCTTCGCCCAGCACTAGGGTGTTGCCCATCACCTTCCTTAAGACCCAATCCCCAATTTTGAATGGTCTAGGGTGAACTGTTTTGTTATACTTCAAATTAATGTAATGCACTAAAATAAATAGATTTATGATTAATCAAATTAAATTACAGACTAAGAAAATATGCTGGAATTTACAATGATATTTCACGGAAATACACAATACAATAAAATGGTAAAGAAGTGCAAACCAAAGCCTGTGTGATACCACAGTCTCCTTAAACAGATTAGCCGCCTCATTGTGGGTGCTGGAGGTATATCGACTTCTATCTCCTAGGATACTATGGTTTAGACTAGCTAACGTAGAAGCATCTTCTGCTAGCTTTGGAAAACCGACAATGGCAGCACTCTCTCGCACAGGAAGAATAAAAATTCTAGAGGAAAACTTTGAACACCAGGGAGAGCAAACTTTTTGGTGTAAAAGAATGAAGGAGAGAGTCTCCTTTTATACACATGGAGAGAGAGAGAGAGGGGGGGGGGGGGGGGGGAAAGGCTCTTGCAACAAATGCAGGTTTTAGTTTTGCAAAACTCCCAAGACATAAATTGCAGAATTAATGGCTTTAGTCCATCATCAATTCAAAGGAGTTACCAAGTTTTATACACATGTATATTGTGTATAATCCTGTAGCCACCTTTCCCAACACCTCTTTCATGAGGCCAATTTAATGAGTTAATTTCTCATTCAAATCTTAATGGTTTTTTGCCATTCTTTTTGTGGTGTAAAGATCTTGTTACAAAGAATCTAAACCTATTTAATCCCACCTCAACCAATGGTTGGGACCTACTTTAATTTCACATTAAAGTCACTAAAAAACCATTTTTTTCCAACAAAAAGTAGTACAATAATTGACCAAGAAGAAGACATAGTGTTAAAAACTTGATTTGGCGTTGATGGACAGAGGTCAATCAACAAATAAATCAAAAATTTATGAAAACAGGAAGAAAAAATTTTAGTTTTATGGTTGTGTTCTATATTTTGAATGGTTCAAAAACTTTTTTGAAGTATATCGATAGAAAGAAACAAACTGAAATTGAATTGAAATAATTGAAATTATTATTGGTTACAAGAATAAAAAAAGAACTATTGAATTAAAACTACTTAGTGAATAGAAATTTAGTCCTGATTGAACTAGTTTAGATAAAATTGATGTGTTGGTTGTTGCTGATTCCTCATCTTTTCCACTTTCAACCTATTTATGGGCTCATTTTTCAACAGTTAAACAACTGTTAGATAATTTCTCGTTATCCATAAGCCACGAACTAACAACAGCTTCCACGAATTCACAGACGATACCCCACGTTCCACTTTTCCTCTCTTAGTGTTCTGACCCACTATGCTTTGAACCATCTCCTGCACAAAACAACATAGTAATAATAATAAATTTAACTATGACCATAATATTCTCCTAAAAATGATTCGATAGACCACAATTAATAAGAATAGATTTGGTTACAATCAATAGAAAAAATAATTTATGATGTCAACACCTAGCTATAGTTAGGAAATTTCAAATTATATATACACATTGCACACTCGCACACCATCATATGTAAATTCCTGATTCATTCCAAAAAAAAAACAAAACACAAAAAAATCATAGCAAGGTTTGTTTATCCTCCTAATCTTGGTTTAACGCTTGTAAAACAATCATTTTATGAATAACAAAAGTTATTGATTTATTCCAAATACTTAAAACTTGGCTAATTGAAGCTAAAAAAGAAAAGAAAAGAAATAGTTATACATAAGGTCATCTCCAATCTTTCCTCAAATGTCTCATCAAATTTAAATTTGATGAAAAATTGATGAAAACGGTGGTCCAATTGTTTCATCAAATTGATATAAACTGAAAGGAGTACTATATTTTTCATTAAATCAAGAGAGTTTTTATCGTTTTATCAAATTTTGCAAGTGGCCGTTGGTGGACAACCAGCTAGACAACTAGGTGGCCATTGGTTGATAAAATTTACTCTTCACCGGACGACTAGCAAGATGACCGGTTAGACAATTGGTTGAACTGATGAAAGTTTACTCTTCATCGTTGGAGTGCATCATATCAGATCAAACTTTTCATCAATTTTTTACTCAAATTTGATAAAAAAAAATAAAAAAAAAATTGATGAAATGTTGGAGATGTTCTAATAAGGCTAGCTTTGGAATAATTTTTTAGAATGATAACCTAATACTTTTTTTTTCTTTCTCTCTTTTCCATGGAGGTTCCAATCTATCTGCTTGAATTGATTGCTTTTTAATGTTATAATAAATCAGGACCCAAAGACACGCTACAATTGACCCATTCATGCTTCATATATCAATTGTTTCCTCAAAGGGTTGGGCTTACTTCCGGTACTCAATTGGATATTATTTGGGCTTGTGGAATTCATTACAGGTTCTGTTTCGATAATTCGAACTACTTGTTTTGTAAGATCTTTCGTGTATATCGTCCATGAAAGAAAATTAAGTTGATTTGATAGTTGCAGCTTATTCATTTTATCATGTTTATTTATGAAAAAAAATGAATGACAAATGTATTTTTAAAAATAGACTATCAATTTTTTTAGACAAATATAATAAAATAAAGAAATTACAATTATTCGATGAATCTAATTTTTTTAATGGACGATGTGCAAGTAAAATCTTACAAAATGAGCAATTCAGACCATCGACGCGAGACCTGTGGTGGATACCACAGGCCCAAATAATACCCTCTAATCTAGATCTTGGACTGGAGGCAAACCCAATCCGTTTTTCAATAATATTAGAAACACTAACTAGTACACTAACATATACGTAATTTTATGCATGTCTCGGGTCAAGTAATGGGTACCACATGTGTAAAAAATTTGTAGCGTTTAATTGATTTTTTCTTAGAAGATAAGGACATACTGGTCTTGGTTCACCATCCAATTGCCATCTTGCAAATTTCATCCAGGTCTTTTTCTCTGTTTCAACTAGTTTTCTTTTTCCCTTTTTTTTTTTTTAAATTTGAATGGTTCACGTATGGAATTTTCAGATTATAAATAGTATATACCACCCTCATAAAAAATTTTAAAAAAAAAATTCATTTCATCATCAAAAAAAAATATGGCAAAGTTGCTTGTTGTACTATACACCACACTTGTTTATGACATTTGCAAGGGGAGCTGTGACATGGCAATCTAAATTACAAAATGTGTTGCTCTCTCAACTACCGAAGCTGAATTTATTGCCATTACAGAAGCTTGCAAAGAAGAGTTATGGTTGAAGAAATTTTGCAAGAGTTAGGTTTGAAGCAAGAGAGGTATGTGCTTTATTGTGATAGTCAAAATGCTATTCATTTAAGTAAAAATTCTACTTTTCATTCAAGATCAAAACACATTGATGTGACATACCATTAGATTCGTGATGTGTTAGATTCGAAATTGTTGTAACTCAACAAGGTTCACATAGAGGATAATATTTCAGATATGTTGACTAAGACTTTGTCGAGGGACAAACATTTAAAGTATCAAACTTTGGCGGGTATGGTTGATGTCTCCACCTAAGTCGGTAAAGGGAGAATTGTTGGGTATACCTTCTTATTGGAGTACGAGACCCAATTGGTTTATTAAAATATTTTGTTTGGTTTGGTGTTGATTATAATATATTTTTAATATGTTATATCTACCTTTTGGAGGCCCAATGAGTATTTAATATTCAGTTTGGTAGCAATTAGGATTTTGATAAAAAAAAAAAGAAGCCCAAGAATCAATAATATATTTATATATATTGTTTCTTTTGAAGAGAGCAACAGCTAATGGATGCTAATTGATCATCTTTGTTTAAGTGGATTGGTGCCTTGGTTTGTTACTATTTCGGACTGATGCTTGGAAGGTTTTCTTGGTTTTGAATCATTGGTTGCTCTGAAGCATTGTCAGTGTGGTTTCAGCTAGTGCTTTTGAGATTGATTTGGGTTATTATTTTGGGTCATTATTTTTGGTCTTCTACAACTCTGTTTCGAAGATTTTTGTTCATCTATTTGGTGAGGTTTTTCCTCTTGATTATTTGTGATTATTTAGAATTCACCTAAGGGTGGTTTTGTAAGACCATTCGTGTCTCATTTGGAAACTCTTTGGTTGATAGTGGAATTGAATTTCGATCCCGTGGACAATACATTGAAGGAACCGCGTAAAAATTTTTCTACATTAGTTTTTATTCCCATTGATTGATTTAATTGTGGGAAATCATCTATTTTCCCTAACATGAACTTGATGGTCAACTACCTGACCGGAACCATCCCACGTGAGCTAGGCTCTTTATCAAAGCTTGGAGCTTTAAGCTTGGCTAGAAACAACGTTTCCGGGACCATCCCTCCATCCATAGGAAACCTCTCATCTCTTTCCAAACTCTCTTTCATGTATTGTAATTTGCAAGGGGAGATTCCGAGGGAAATTACTAGGCTTTGAGGCCTGAGATTCGTCCATTTATCTGTGAATAACCTATCTGGCAAGGTTCCTTTCGGGCTTTACAATATCTCCAACATCAATTTTTTAGCACTAGGTGTCAACCAACTTGAGGGAAATATTCTTGCTGATATAGGCTCCACACTTCCTAATCTCCAAGCTCTTTATCTTTTGGGCAATTTGTTTACTAGAACACTTCATACTTCACTGTCAAATGCTTTGGGGCTTGAAGTGATAAACTTCTTTTTTAATCATTGCAGTGGGACAGTGCGGAAAGATCTTGGAAAACTTCCGGGTCATCGAGAGATAAGCCTTTCTAAAAATTGGTTCCAAGATGATCTCACTTTTATTTCGCCTCTAACAAATTGCACCAATTTACATAATATTGATGCGGCTATAAATCTTCTCAGAGGTTCATTGCCTGACTCCATAGCTAATCTCTCCACATATCTTTACGGGATAGATTTGGAGGAAAATCAAATACATGGAAGCATTTGTTCAAGCATCAGGAACCTCGTCAACCTCAGTAGCTTAAGTGTGGCATGGAATTATCTTATTGGCCCTATTTCATCCTCCATTGGTAGACTTCATAAGCTTCAAGCTCTGGGGTTACACCAAAACAAATTCACACAACTTCCATCTTCGCTTGGTAATTTGACTTCGTTGATTATTCTCTACTTGCGACAAAACAGCATCCATGGAAACATACCTACGAGTTTGGGAAATTGTCATAGATTGTTGGAATTAGACCTTTCTCAAGATAATCTCAATGGTCCAATACCCCCTGAAATTATGAAGCTCTCAACCCTTTCAGAATTGCTCTGGTTAGGTCAAAATGCACTGTCCGGTTCTCTTCCATTAGAAATCGGTTCTTTGAAAAATCTTGGAAACTTGGATGTGTCCCATAAAAGATTATTAGGATCCATACCAAACACTCTTGGCAGTTGCTTGAGTCTGGAATGGTTTGAGTTGGAAAATAATTCATTTGAAAGAGAGATACCTCAAAGTTTGAGAACGCTAAGGGGTTTAAGAGTGTTAGATCTTTCGCACAATAATTTGTCGGGGCTGATCCCAAGTTATCTAGGTGAGTTTCAACTAGATATCTTGAATTTGTCTTTTAATAGGTTACATGGACAAGTTCTAATACAAGGAGTGTTTCAAAATACGAATGCGATTTCAGTTGTTGGAAATAATGATCTATGTGGAGGAATTGCAAAATTAGACCTTTCTCCTTATTCATCCTCCAAATCAAGCAAGAATAAGTTGTCTCACAAGCTGAAAATGATATTGGTTGTGGTGGTTGCTCTTGTGATATGTGCAACTTTGTTAGTTGTCTTCTTCTTATTTCTCCAACAACGACATGTCCTAAAAAAGAAGGCACCTTCCTTGCTGTTAGGTCCCTAGTTGCCAATTCTGCGAACAAACTCAGTTTAATGGAGTTATAATTTTTTCCTTGGTTTCGGTCCTCCTGCTCGAGCGTGAACATTTGTGCTCGAGCGGAGTTTGCACCTTCTCAGTAGTTTGACTTGTCTGCATAAATACTAGGAGGCGTGTTTTTGCACTCGAGCGGAGACCTGTTTAATCGCACGCATTTTAGTGATTCTGCTCGAGCGGCAAGTCCTGCGATTGAGCAGGGTACGCGGCCCCTGTTTTCTATATATATGTGTTTAGGTCCGTTTTTAGGTTTAATGCTTCTAGATCTATTTTGGGAGCTCTAGGGTTTTCTTTTAGAGGTTGTTTTGCTAGTTTTCCTTTGATGTTTTCTTGAGTATTAAACTCACATGGTTTGTTAATTCACATCAAAGGTATAAATTGAAGTGCATCCGAACAGACAATGGTGGTGAATACATTGGACCATTTGATGAGTATTGTCGCAGCTAAGGTATTCGGCATCAAAAGACGGTTAAGAAAACTCCTCAAAAAATGGTGTTATTGAGAGGATGAACCGCACCATTGTGGAAAGAACAAGGTGTTTGCTTTCACATGCTAAATTGCCAAGATCTTTTTGGAGTGAGGTAATGAGGATAGCTGTTGACATGATCAATTTGTCTCATTCCTATCCTTTGAATGGTGATGTGCTTGAAAGAGTTTGGACCGGTAAAGATGTGTCATATGAGCACTTGAGAGTGTTTGGTTGTCGAGCCTTTGTTCACATTCCAAAGGATGAGAGGTCCAAGCTTAATAACAAGTCAAGACAATGCATTTTTCTTGGCTATGGGTGTGATGAATTTGGTTATAGATTGTGGGATCTGATCAACAAGAAAGTTATTCGAAGCAGTGATGTTGTGTTCCTTGATGACCAAACAATTGAAGACTTTAGCAAAGGTAATCAACCGGAGCAAAAAACTAGTGATCTCATTGACATGGATCCATCTCCTTCATCTTTAGTTGATGATGAAATGGAAGATGTGCAACCACCTCATAAAGATGTAGATGATGATGCTGCTCTAAACGAGATTTAGCCAGAAATTGAGGAAGAGCATCCAACTCAAGAATCGCCACCATAACTTGAGTTGAGGAAATCTACAAGGGACCGGCAACCTTCAAGAAAGTATCCTCCCAATGAATTTGTATTGATATCCGAGCAAGGGGAGCCCGAGAGCTACCAAGAAGCAATTGAGCATGCAAAGAAAAGTGATTGGAAAAAGGCCATGGAAGAGGAATTGAATTCCTTGCTTGAAAATCACACTTATGATTTAGTGAAGTTGCCTAAAGGGAGGAAAATTCTGAAAAATAAGTGGGTCTTCAAATTGAAGAATGATGGCAAGAATCTGAGGTACAAAGCATTTCTTGTTGTGAAAGGCTTTAGGCAAAAGAAAGGTATTGACTTTTATGAGATTTTCTCACCGGTTATGAAGATGTCTTCTATTCGGGTTGTACTTGGCATGGTCTCGAGTATGAACCTTGAAGTTGAGCAACTTGATGTGAAGACCGCATTTTTTCACGGTGACCTTGAAGAAGAAATTTATATGGAGCAACTGGAAGGTTTTGTAGAGAAAGGAAAAGAGAAATTTGTTACTTGGCATGGTCTCGAGTATGAACCTTGAAGTTGAGCAACTTGATGTGAAGACCGCATTTTTTCACGGTGACCTTGAAGAAGAAATTTACATGGAGCAACTGGAAGGTTTTGTAGAGAAAGGAAAAGAGAAATTTCTTTGCAATTGAAGAAAAGTTTGTATGGCCTCAAGCAAGCCCCGCGACAATGGTACAAAAAATTTGACTCTTTCATGATGAATAATAATTTTTGTAAAACCACTTTGGACCTTTGTGTGTTTATGAAAAAAATTTCAGATGAAAAATTTATTATTCTTTTACTTTATGTTGATTATTAACAGGTTGAAATTGGAGTTGAGCAAGTCTTTTGCTATGAAAGATTTGGGGCTAGCAAAGCAAATACTTTGTATGAAAATTATTTGTGATCGCAAAAAGGGGTTGATGTGGTTGTCTCAAGAAAGCTACATTGAGAAAGTGCTTGAGAGGTTCAACATGGATCAAGCAAAACTAGTTGCTTGTCCACTTGCGGGTCACTTCAAGCTTAGTTTGAATCAATGTCCTACAAGTGAGAAAGACAAGGAAGAGATACTAAAAATTCGTTATGCTTCAACGGTTGGTTCCTTGATGTGCGCTATGGTTTGTATAAGGCCAGATATTGCTCACGTCGTTGGTGTGGTGAGTCGTTTTCTCTCTAATCCGGGTAAAGAACATTGGGCAGCGGTAAAGTGGATTCTAAGATATCTTCGAGGGACTTCGAAGGTGTGTTTGTGTTTTGGTGATGGTAAGCTGATGCTTGATGGGTTCACGGATTTTGACATGGCTGGTGATGTTGATCCTAGAAAATCTACTTCAGGGTATTTTATGACATTTGCAAGGGGAGCTGTGACATGGCAATCTAAATTACAAAATGTGTTGCTCTCCCAACTACCGAAGCTGAATTTATTGCCATTACAGAAGCTTGCAAAGAAGAGTTATGGTTGAAGAAATTTTGCAAGAGTTAGGTTTGAAGCAAGAGAGGTATGTGCTTTATTGTGATAGTCAAAATGCTATTCATTTAAGTAAAAATTCTACTTTTCATTCAAGATCAAAACACATTGATGTGACATACCATTAGATTCGTGATGTGTTAGATTCGAAATTGTTACAACTCGAAAAGGTTCACACAGATGATAATATTTCAGATATGTTGACAAAGACTTTGTCGAGGGACAAACATTTAAAGTATCAAACTTTGGCGGGTATGGTTGATGTCTCCACCTAAGTCGGTAAAGGGAGAATTGTTGGGTATACCTTCTTATTGGAGTACGAGACCCAATTGGTTTATTAAAATATTTTGTTTGGTTTGGTGTTGATTATAATATATTTTTAATATGTTATATCTACCTTTTGGAGGCCCAATGAGTATTTAATATTCAGTTTGGTAGCAATTAGGATTTTGATAAAAAAAAAAAGAAGCCCAAGAATCAATAATATATTTATATATATTGTTTCTTCCAAAGAGAGCAGCAGCTAATGGATGCTAATTGATCATCTTTGTTTAAGTGGATTGGTGCTTTGGTTTGTTGCTATTTTGGACTAATGCTTGGAAGGTTTTCTTGGCTTTGAATCTTGGGTTGCTCTGAAGCATTGTCAGTGTGGTTTCGGCTGGTGCTTTGGAGATTGATTTGGGTTATTATTTTGGGTCTTCTACAACTCTGTTTCGAAGAATTTTGTTCAACTATTTGGTGAGATTTTTCCTCTTGATTATTTGTGATTATTTAGAATTCACCTAAGGGTGGTTTTGTAAGACCATTCGTGTCTCATTTGGAAACTCTTTGGTTGATAGTGGAATTGAATTTCGATCCCGTGGACAATACATTGAAGGAACCGCGTAAAAATTTTTCTACATTAGTTTTTATTCCCATTGATTGATTTAATTGTGGGAAATCATCTATTTTCCCTAACATGAACTTGATGGTCAACTACCTGACCGGAACCATCCCACGTGAGCTAGGCTCTTTATCAAAGCTTGGAGCTTTAAGCTTGGCTAGAAACAACGTTTCCGGGACCATCCCTCCATCCATAGGAAACCTCTCATCTCTTTCCAAACTCTCTTTCATGTATTGTAATTTGCAAGGGGAGATTCCGAGGGAAATTACTAGGCTTTGAGGCCTGAGATTCGTCCATTTATCTGTGAATAACCTATCAGGCAAGGTTCCTTTCGGGCTTTACAATATCTCCAACATCAATTTTTTAGCACTAGGTGTCAACCAACTTGAGGGAAATATTCTTGCTGATATAGGCTCCACACTTCCTAATCTCCAAGCTCTTTATCTTTTGGACAATTTGTTTACTAGAACACTTCATACTTCACTATCAAATGCTTTGGGGCTTGAAGTGATAAACTTCTTTTTTAATCATTGCAGTGGGACAGTGCGGAAAGATCTTGGAAAACTTCTGGGTCATCGAGAGATAAGCCTTTCTAAAAATTGGTTCCAAGATGATCTCACTTTTATTTCGCCTCTAACAAATTGCACCAATTTACATAATATTGATGCGGCTATAAATCTTCTCAGAGGTTCATTGCCTGACTCCATAGCTAATCTCTCCACATATCTTTACGGGATAGATTTGGAGGAAAATCAAATACATGGAAGCATTTGTTCAAGCATCAGGAACCTCGTCAACCTCAGTAGCTTAAGTGTGGCATGGAATTATCTTATTGGCCCTATTTCATCCTCCATTGGTAGACTTCATAAGCTTCAAGCTCTGGGGTTACACCAAAACAAATTCACACAACTTCCATCTTCGCTTGGTAATTTGACTTCGTTGATTATTCTCTACTTGGGACAAAACAGCATCCATGGAAACATACCTACGAGTTTGGGAAATTGTCATAGATTGTTGGAATTAGACCTTTCTCAAGATAATCTCAATGGTCCAATACCCCCTGAAATTATGAAGCTCTCAACCCTTTCAGAATTGCTTTGGTTAGGTCAAAATGCACTGTCCGGTTCTCTTCCATTAGAAATCGGTTCTTTGAAAAATCTTGGAAACTTGGATGTGTCCCATAAAAGATTATTAGGATCCATACCAAACACTCTTGGCAGTTGTTTGAGTCTGGAATGGTTTGAGTTGGAAAATAATTCATTTGAAAGAGAGATACCTCAAAGTTTGAGAACGCTAAGGGGTTTAAGAGTGTTAGATCTTTCGCACAATAATTTGTCGGGGTTGATCCCAAGTTATCTAGGTGAGTTTCAACTAGATATCTTGAATTTGTCTTTTAATAGGTTACATGGACAAGTTCTAATACAAGGAGTGTTTCAAAATACGAATGCGATTTCAGTTGTTGGAAATAATGATCTATGTGGAGGAATTGCAAAATTAGACCTTTCTCCTTATTCATCCTCCAAATCAAGCAAGAATAAGTTGTCTCACAAGCTGAAAATGATATTGGTTGTGGTGGTTGCTCTTGTGATATGTGCAACTTTGTTAGTTGTCTTCTTCTTATTTCTCCAACAACGACATGTCCTAAAAAAGAAGGCACCTTCCTTGCTGTTAGGTCCCTAGTTGCCAATTCTGCGAACAAACTCAGTTTAATGGAGTTATAATTTTTTCCTTGGTTTCGGTCCTCCTGCTCGAGCGTGAACATTTGTGCTCGAGCGGAGTTTGCACCTTCTCAGTAGTTTGACTTGTCTGCATAAATACTAGGAGGCGTGTTTTTGCACTCGAGCGGAGACCTGTTTAATCGCACGCATTTTAGTGATTCTGCTCGAGCGGCAAGTCCTGCGATTGAGCAGGGTACGCGGCCCCTGTTTTCTATATATATGTGTTTAGGTCCGTTTTTAGGTTTAATGCTTCTAGATCTATTTTGGGAGCTCTAGGGTTTTCTTTTAGAGGTTGTTTTGCTAGTTTTCCTTTGATGTTTTCTTGAGTATTAAACTCACATGGTTTGTTAATTCACATCAAAGGGTTATTTAAGTGATCATCTTTAAGAGTGTTCTTCTTCAGTGGAATCCAGAAATTCAAGTGTGGAGTGTTCGAAGGTGTTCAAAACTATGCGCGGTTATTGAGTCGACGTAGATGTTGTGGAATCAACATCAATCTAATTAATCCTGAGACGAAGGTTGTGGTGGACGATATACAAAGAGTTGAGGATAAATTGACAGAGTTTGGGTAATTTGTTTGGGTATTTTGTATTCTTTTTTCCTTCATAGTGAATTGATTTGTGGTGTTTCGCCCGCGGTTTTTTTAATCACAATTGGAAGTGCTCCAATAGTGATTTTTTCCATGTAAAAATCATTTATGTCTATTTATTGTTTCTGAAACAACAATCTAAATCACTTTCGTACGTGCTTGATGATTTAGATTGTTATTTTTAATTGTTTGGGAATTGGTACAATTAAATCTTGATCTAATCACGAATCACTTAGGTTTTTCAATGGGTATCAGAGCGGGTCACACTTTGTTTTTTTTATCAAAACTATAGGAGTGTGATTTTATGTGATTGGTGATATGGATTCAATGCGTGAAGGTAACTCAACCCATAGACCTCTGTTACTTGATGGTACAAACTATTCTTATTGGAAAGCTCATATGAGAATGTTTTTAAAATCTATCGATGAGAAAGTTTGGCACTGTGTAATCTATGGGTGGAGTGAACCTGTTGTCACTATTGATGGTGTTGATATTCTCAAACCTCTTGATAAATTGGATGTATTCGATTATCAAAATTTGAGTTGGAACAGTAAGGATCTCAACTCCCTCTTTTGCTCCGTCACACCAGAAGAGTTTCGTCATATTTGTACTTGTGAAGTAGCAAGAGAGGCTTGAGATATTCTTGAAACTATTCACGAGAGTACTACTTCTGTTAAAAGGTCAAATCTTCAACGTCTCACCTCCACTTTTGAAACTTTTTTTTATGCTTGATGATGAGACGTTTGATGATTTTTATACTAAACTTAGTGACATCGTGAATTCTTGTTTCACACTAGGTGAAAAAATCCCTGAAGCTAAGGTTGTTGGAAAAATTTTGAGGTTTTTACTCGAGAGGTTCCAATCAAAAGTTACAACTATTGAGGAGGCTCAGGATGTTGATACCCTCAAGCTTTATCAGTTGGTTGGAAACTTGCAGACTTATGAAACCCACCAGATTTCTAAGAAAAAATAAAAAGATAGTGTGGCATTCACTAGTGCTCATGAGACTACAAAGACCTCTGACATTGAGTTTGATCTAGAGTCCGAGATGACGGCTAAGTTTACTAAACAGTTCTCTTGTTTCATACTAGGTGAAAAAATCCCTGAAGCTAAGGTTGTTGGAAAAATTTTGAGGTGTTTACCCGAGAGGTTCCAATCAAAAGTTACAACTATTGAGGAGGCTCAGGATGTTGATACCCTCAAGCTTGATCAGTTGGTTGGAAACTTGCAGACTTATGAAACCCACCAGATTTCTAAGAAAAAATAAAAAGATAGTGTGGCTTTCACTAGTGCTCATGAGACTACAAAGACCTCTGACATTGAGTTTGATCTAGAGTCCGAGATGACGGCTAAGTTTACTAAACAGTTCAAAAAAAATTTAAAGAAAAAGAAGCCTAATTTCATGGACCCTATTTCAAAAGATAAGAGCAATGAAAAACTCAAAAATTTTCCACCAAAAATTGCTCCTAAAACTGAAAAGAAGACTGCGAAGGGGCAAGGGGTCAAGTGTTATGAATGTCAAGGGTTTGGACATATTGCTCTTGAATGTCCATTGAAAAAGAACTAAAAGAAAGTCTATACAATGACTTGGGATAATGAAAGCGAGTCAGAGAAAAAACCCAAAGAAACCTAATCTATTGAAGAAGGAGATAGTATTTACATGGCATTCTGGTCTACTATCACTCAACCTCCTCCAAAGCTAGTGGAATTTGCTCATGGTCAGAATCTGCAACATGGTCCTACCTTTGATGGGAGTAATTACTTGTTCTGGAAGATCAGAATGAGGATGTTTCTGAGAGCTTAAGACCCTAAGGGCTGGCAAGCCATTGAAGAGGATGTTGAAAGCACTAACAATTTGAGCAATCAAAGAGTTCTAACTACCATTCGTGAAGCAATTTCTGACGAAGAACAGCAATGGATTGCTCATTGCACAAAGGCCAAAGATGCATGGGACATTCTGAGTCAATTTCATGAAAGAGGAGAGTCATCTTCACCACTATCTATCAATTTTCATGGCTTAGTTGCTCGACTAGATGAGATCCAGGAGAAAGAGAAGCAAAAAGAGGATAATGAAACCTCGGAAGACAATGATGAAATTGATGGTGATGACCTACAACAAGGTTATGAAAAGCTTTACGATGAATCTCTGAATTTGTCCAAGATAAATGACAAACTCACTCTCAAGCTCAAAGCATGTGAAAGCGAGAATGTCAAGCTAAATGGAGAGATTAAAGCTACAAAAAGGGATGAATGGATAGGGTTTTCAATTTTCATGGCTTAGTTGCTCGACTAGATGAGATCCAGGAGAAAGAGGAGCAAAAAGAGGATAATGAAACCTCGGAAGACAATGATGAGATTGATGGTGATGACCTACAACAAGGTTATGAAAAGCTTTACGATGAATCTCTGAATTTGTCCAAGATAAATGACAAACTCACTCTCAAGCTCAAAGCATGTGAAAGCGAGAATGTCAAGCTAAAGGGAGAGATTAAAGCTACAAAAAGGGATGAATGGATAGGGTTTTGAGGTTGAAAAGTGCACTTTTAGATGGTTGTGAATAGTAATTCGAGAATAGTAAATTGAAACAGAAAAGAAAAAGAAAGAAGAGAAGAAGACAGGTCCAGACATCACACCTAGATTCCACAGGGGGTTTGATTGCATCAGACAATCCATAAAGAAACTTCAAAACTCTCAAATTTTTATAAAATATCAATTCCCTTGAATTACAAGTATTACATGACTTTATATAGACTTTAGAGACTTCCTAAACCAACTTGAATAAAAAAATGAAACTATTATAATAAGAAACATAAATAAAACTAATTAAATAACTTAACGCATAAGACAATTGCGATAATCCTGTTCCGTACCATGCTAATTAATCCTAATTATGATTGTGTTTATGTGTTTGATATGATTTTGAGTGCTATTTATATGAATATATGTGGTGTTGAATTTCTATCTGTTCATCGTAGGAAAATCTGTTTGATTATGTGCTTTAGAATTTAAATTGAAGGCCCTATCGGCCACAGAATCCGAAATTGATTACGCCATTGTGATTAGCGTAATTTTTAGAGCCTACGGTGAAATTTAATTGAAAGTTTGTTCGGATCAAAATAATTAGATTCAGAACGATTAGTTAAGCTCCATTATTTAATTCTAATCACTTTGACTAAGAGAGCCTATAAATAGGCCTCTATACACACAATTTCTCTCTTTGAATTCATTTTTGCTGAGATTACACTCTAGAGAGAGAGTGTGTGGGTCGGTTAGAGAGAGAGGAGGCTCAAGTTGAAGAATTAATCAAGAAGCTTGAAAACCTTGAAGATCAACTCAAGAATTAACCATAAATTGGGTGATTAGAGCTTCTAGGTAAGTACTTGAGTATGAATTCATGAGTATAAGTTTGTAAATTTGTGCATTCAAGCTAGTTGGGTGATCAAGAACATCAATTGAGATGAAATTGAAGAATTGAAAGCTTATATGTACATGCATGCATAGAATTGCTATGAATTTGCATAGTTGAGCATAAATCATGTTAAACAAGGAGAATGGGGCACCAAATCTCACATGGATGTATGATCTCCATGAGTTTCATAATTATCAGTGTTATTTGCACTAGAATTGGAGTCAAAATTACATGCATGTTTGATTAAGGGAAATATGAAGATTAAATGAAGTTTGAATGCATGGGTTTCAACCGTACAAGGGAATGATGATTAATTTGAGAGTTTGATTATGACTTTGAACAATTGGCTTCATATTGGTTGTGTCCTCACATTATGTAATGTGTTTATATGTTTTTATGTCAAAAAAACTTGAGTTTGAACCTTTGGACCATGAGTTTAAACTTGAAGAACAGTTCTGGGAAACCCAGAATTTGGCATGTCTGCTCGAGCGGGGAACGTACTGCTCGAGCATGAAATACGAGCTCCCAGAATTTTTGCAGACATTGATGTCCGCTCGAGCGGGGAGCCATGTAGTGTGACTTTTAGCTCGAGTGTCCGAATTCATGCTCGAGCGTAAAAATGAGGCAACCAGTACTTTTGCAGACCATGAGGGTCCGCTCGAGCGGCAGAACCCACGCTCGAGCGGGGACCCCTGTTTCAGAAATTTTGTAAAGGTGTTTTGTGTTTCATTTTCCCTTCTCTTTCATTTCTAAGCACTCTTAGGCATGCATTGAGCATCATAAATGAGTTAAAAGGATAAGAAAGAAGCCTAAGAGGGATGTATGAATTAAGAACAGATTGAATTGTTTGTGACCCATTATGTTCATGAAATGTGTAGGGTCAAGTTCCAAGACAAATCCGCCGGCAGAACACTGTGAGTAATATCTTAGTAAAAATATTTTGAAGTATGTTATTTGTCCAATTGCTTATTCCCATATAAGTCTTATAAGTTGTTAATTTGAATTGTGGACAAATGTTTGTTATGCCATATGGTTGGGCCAAAGGCCGTTGGGTACAATTGATTGGGTTGAAGGCCGTTTGACATGAATGAATAAATGGGTCGAAGGCCGTTTGACATGAATGAATAAATAGGCCAAAGGTCGTTTGACATGAATGAATGGGCCAAAGGTTGTTTGACATGAATGAATGGACCAAAGGCTGTTTGACTTGAATGAATAAATGGGCTGAAGGTCGTTTGACACGAATGATTGGGCCAAAGGCCGTCGGACAGGAACGATTGGGCCAAAGGCAATCGGATATGAATGAATTGGGCCCGAGGCCGTTTGATGTGTTTGGAACCGCAGTCACTTGACATATATATATATATATACTAGATAGAAATATGAATTGGGCCCAAGGCCGTTTGATGTATGTTGTTCTAAATGCCGTTCGTGTATCTTCTTTATTTGATATTATTCACTAGGCTTTCGCTCATGCTCATTCATGTGTCTATAGGTGAGCCAAGGGAGGTCCAAACCCAGCCTCAGTGAAGTTTGTGTGAAACAGTCAAGGTTTTGAAGAGTCAGCCCACACG